TACACATCAAGATCTACCACTTGTAAAAGTTTGGTGTCTTAATCTCTTACCGTTTACGAGATCTAGTTATGATAACTTCTCATTTTGAGGACAGGAAATCACGCAACCGGAAGTGAATTTTTTTAGGATAGTTGGCGTTACTTAAGACAGTTACAGTCTTAATAACATATCCAAAAATCATTACAAATACTGCATCTATAAAAAATATTTACTGGAAAGAAAAATTCTCAAATTATGAAGCTTTTCTCTTATAACCGGAAGTTGTCTTCTTTGTTTCCGGTGTTACTGACTTATTTCAAAACTACAAATAAGATGCTATTATGTGGTAAAAAAAAAGTTTCCATAAGGAAAAGTTGAATTTTTGAACTTCTTTTATCACTTCCTGTGACGACCGGAAGTGACGACAGACGATATTAGCCACCATGGAATTGCTAACTCATCAGGATATACCACTTGTCAAAGTTTGGTGTCTTAATCTCTTACTGTTTAAGAGATCTAGCTATAATAATTTCTCATTTTGAGGACAGGAAATCACACGCAAACCGGAAGTGAATTTAAAAAAAAATAGTTGATGTTACTGTAGACATTTGCAGTCTGAATAACATATCCAAAACAGTTGCAAACACCTTATCTGTAAAAAATATATATTGGAAAGAAAATATTCAAATTATGTAGTTTTTCTCTTATAACCGGAAGTTGTCGTTTTTGTTTCCGGTGGAGCAGATATATTTTGAAACTACAAATAAAGCGCTATAATGTGATGCAATAAACGTTCCATAGAAGAAAAGATGAAATTTCCGATTTTTTGACCACTTCCTGTGACGATCGGAAGTGACGGCGGACAATCTTAACCCATATGTTTTTCCCTTTTCGTCAAGATATACCACTCCTATAAGTTTGGTGTCTACATCTCTTACCGTTTCAGAGATATAGCTATAAGAACTATTCATTTTGAGGACAGGAAATCACGCGACCGGAAGTGAATTTTCCAAAGATATTTGACGTTACTGTAATCATTTGCAGTCTGAATAACACATCTAAAAATCATTTCGAAAATTTTATCTATAAAAAATATTTACTGGAAAGAAAAATACTGAAAATATGCAGTTTTTCTCTTATAACCGGAAGTTGTCCTTTTTGTTTCCGGTGGGACTGACATATTTCGAAACTACGAGTACGATGCTATAATCTGATGCTAAAAAACTTTCAAAAAAGAAAAGTTGAAATTTTCGATATTTAAGAACACTTCCTGTGACGACCGGAAGTGACGGCGGACGATCTTAACCCAATTGGATTTGCCTACTTATCAAGATCTATCATCCCTGTAAGTTTGGTGCCTTAATCTCTTACCGTTTCTGAGATCTCACTCGGATTAAATATTTTTGAAAAAAGCGGAAATCGGACATATCTGACGACCGGAAGTGATTTTTGAAAAAATGAAAAAAACGTCTCGAGGTATTTTCATTCTCTATCATCCCTGAAAATTTCAGGAAAATCCGTCCAGCCACCTCTGAGAAATCCTGCCGACAAGATTTGGGGAAAAAAATAATAATAAGAATAATAAGAAAAAACAGTAGAATCACTATAAGGTCTTCCGTCTGAAACGGAAGACCTTAATAATAAGAAACAGTAGAATCACTATAAGGTCTTCCGTGAAGACAGAAGACCTTAATTACAAATTGTCGCCTAGGTTCACGTCAGAATATGGAGGACGCAAAATAATTCCTGAATTTTCCTCTTTAACTCGAGAATTCCTGCATTGGACAGGTCTGATAATTGATATGAGATGATAAACCCTGTGTAAACTTTCTTAGTTTAGCGGAATCATGAACATTTTCGGCGTGATGAATGAATTGTTTACAGTAGCGATGAGGCCACCGCGCAGCTGCGAGCGGATCCAAAGATTTATGAATGAATTAAGAAAGATGGAAATAGAGTTTGATTTCTTTTATTTTATTTAATGACATTATTCATATGCAAGTAAAAGATATACAAGAAAATGCGAGATGCTAATAAATGCAGCTGACAATCTTTATTTTCTCAAGATATTTTTTTTTAATGAAATAATTATAAATTCTACAGACAAAACATAGGAAGAATGAATGATTGCAAATTATCAGATGACATAAGGGGAACTAATTTTTTTTTATGAATGAAACTTTTAAAACGTTACTTGTAAGTTGTATATGTTATATCTGCGAATTCTACCTGGCTGTGCGCTTCCAAGGGGGGGGGGCTGTCTTGAATATAGACTTGTAAATTACCATTATTTTGTAGATAGAATTAAGCTTTATCATTTTCTTAACTTTAAGAAGAGTGCCTTGTTATACATGTATAAATGTCATGGTCATTTTATGTAGAATGTAAAACATTTAAGCGGAATGAGCATCCATTTCAATAAATGAGAAAGGTGGGGGCTAGGTTTCTTACAGTTTTCAAAAAAAAAATGGGGGCGGGGTATAAGATGCACACACATGACATATGTTTCATACATTTTATTTGCGAAAGACTCCACTCTGCAGAACCAGAGAAGGTTTTTCTACAGGTCCATTCCCCATCACGGGGAAGACCTTACCTGCACAATGGCACATTGTGTATTACCCGCGCAGCCTATTTATGAGAAAATGAAATGAATATTTTTTAGTGTTTAAGAAAACGTTGAACCTACGCTTGCGAAAGTTCTAAGACATTCAAAGATATTTAATTTCTTCTTTATCAAATTAAGAAACTGGTTATACGTTAAATCAGCAAATAGGGGCCTTTACTTATGCCATGAATATCACAGAAAAAGATAGAAAGAAAGACAAAGAAATTTAAAAAATCGACTTTTAATCCCCTTTTTTGGCGACGACCGGAAGAATTGACGACGGACAAAATGTTGTTCGACACATCTTCAAGTCATGATCTATGATATCCGACACAGTAAACTTTCATATCTTAAGCTGTTCAGGAGAAATGGACCGGACAAAGGTCATTTCAAGAAGTTGGTCAATACGAAAATAGTAAGAATACTAGAAACTCTTGTTGCTACAGCAACAAAGAAGGTCTTCCGTTCTCCTCTATTTATCTGTATGTGTGAATTTTTATCTATGTTTAAAAAGAAGGAAGATTCCCATGTTACTTTAGAAAAATAAAGTCTTAATAACATTTACAAAAAATCATTTTCAATTTTTATATCATTTCCTGTGATAACTGGAAGTGACGGCAGACGGGTTTTACGCTATATCTGTTGTCCAATCTTAATGATTTATTATTCATATAAGTTTTGTGTCTTGATCTAGTACTGTTTTATTTAAGAGGTCTCGTCATATTAACATATCATTTTTAGGGGCAAGAAATCACGTGACCGGAAGTAATTTTTTCAAAAGATATTTGAGGTTATTCTAGACATTTCAGTCTGAAAGACATGTCCTAAGACCATTTCAAATACTCTTTTTATAAAAGATATTTATGGTTTAGTAATATACTCAATTTATGCAGTTCTCTCTCATGACCGGAAGTTGTCGATTTTGTTTCCAGTGGGATTTATTTCAAAATTACAAATAAGATGCTATAATGTATTACTAAGAAAGATTCCATAAAGAAATAATGATTTTTTTGTTATTATATTTGATCACTTCCTGTAACAACAGGAACTGACAGCCGCACGGACGATGTTAACCCAAAAGGATTTGCTTTCTTATCAACCTCTACAATTCCTATAAGTTTGGTGTCTTAATCTTTTACCTCTTTCAGGATCTAGCTATGATAACGTCTCATTTTGAGGACAGAAAATCACGCGACCGGAAGTGAATTTAAAAAAGATATTTGAAATATCTGTAGACATATGCAGTCTAAGTAACATAACCAAAAATCATTAACAAATTCTTTATCTACAAAAAGTAAATATATGGGAGAAAAAATAATCAAATAATGTGGTTTTTCTCTTATAACCGAAAGTTGTCGTTTTTGTTTCCGGTGGGACTGATATATTTTAAAGCTACAAAATAAGATTCTATAATCTGATGTAAAAAAAAAATTCGTAAAAGAAAAGTTGAAATTTTAGATTTTTTTATGACTTCCGGTAACGACCGGAAGTGACGGCAGACGATCTTTTCCTAACTGATTTAGCCTACTTATCACGATTTACCACTTGATTAAGTTTGGTGTCTTAATCTCTTACTGTTTACGAGATCTAGCTATGATAACTTCTCATTTTGAGGACAGGAAATCACGCGACCGGAAGTGAATTTTACAAAGATATTTGACGTTACTGTAGACATTTACAGTCTAACTAACATATCTTAAATTCATTACAAATACTTTATCTATAAAAAATATTTAAGGGAAAGAAAAAATACTGAAAATATGCAGTTTTTCTATCATAACCGGAAGTTGTCGTTTTTACTTCCGGTGAGACTGATATATTTCGAAACTACAAATAAGATGTTGTTATCTGATGTAAAAAAAATTTCATAAAAGAAAAGGTGAAATTTTTGATTTCTTTGATCACTTCCTGTGACGACCGGAAGTGAAGGCGGACGATCTTAACCCAAATGGATTTGCCTACTTATTAAGATCTATCAACCCTGTAAGTTTGGTGCCTTAATCTCTTGCCGTTTCTGAGATCTCACTCGGATTAGATATTTTTCAAAAAAGCGGAAATCGGACAAATCTGACGACCGGAAGTGAATTTTGAAAAAATGAAAAAAACGTCTCGGGGTATTTTTATTCTCTATCATCCCTGAAAATTTCAGGAAAATCTGTCCAGCCATCTCTGAGAAATCCTGCCGACAAGATTTGGGAAAAAAAATAATAATAATAAGAAAAAACAGTAGAATCACTATAAGGTCTTCCGTCTGAAACGGAAGACCTTAAAAAACAGTAGAATCACTATAAGGTCTTCCGTCTGAAACGGAAGACCTTAAAAATATATCCTCTTGCATTTCTTAGCCTACTCAAAAACCCGACCACCGAGTTATAGAGGCCCTCTCCCGATGTTTTAAAATATAATGAGATTTCAATTGTGAGGAACTAAGGAAAGAAATAGATCGCTGTAATTAGGAACAGCTCAGAGATCTCCAATGCGTTGTCAGCAGTGCAGTGATAGCATCGTTCGATTTTTGTCCTTCGGATTTCCTACACCAACAGGAAAGGGACAAGCGCTTAAACTCCATCACAGAAAATAACACCTATGGCTCGCCTTTTGCCAAGTTCTTGTCGTGGTCTTTTTCTTTAACGTCCCTTCATCAGTGGAACCCATGATTAGTTGACTCATGTTTAAACACTGATAAAACTATTTGTTTTGTACATGAAGGTGTTTTTCGGCGTCGTGTGTCATTTAAATGTATACATTGTAGGTGCATGTGATGAAACGGTAGCGATCCCTTACCTTTGACGGACCATATTTGGCGTTTAATTCAGGAAACAGCATGAAACTTACATGCAAAGGATGTCCACTTCTGGATTATATACTTAATATATCTGTGCTCGTAAAGATGCTGGTGTTCACCTGTCATTTATCCAAAACAGGTAAAACATTTCAATATCATTCATATTTTTAGACGTCTTGCTTCATATATTCGCACTTGTTGACCGCCATGGCAATCTTTAATAAACAAATCATTAATGTATTATGTCCATTCATTAATACCAGACAGTCTGGGTCTGTCAAAGAATCAAGGAAATCAATAATGAGTTGGTTGATGCTACTGAGCATATGTGCATGCTCATCGTCAGCATTGCTTACAAATTTTCGCTGCGTTCCTCGTTGTTGTATGATATTGAATCTATTGTCTTTTACTCTAACAGTGGAATATTTTCTATATCATAATATCATCTAAGGCTATGCCAGACTTGCAATGATAAGTGCTTTCAAACTTTGTGTAATCAATTCATCTGCTCTACGTGCTTAATGTCACTTTATGATCTGCAGATAGCACATTTGTTTTCTTGCAAAGTCTGCAAATCGGTTCTCTTTACAGAAATGAATAAACGATTTCAAGACGATTTAATGTATCAACCGATCAAACTTGGTGTTCTGAACCCACCTGAAAGTTAAAAAACGAATAATGGTTCACTTCTTGTTTAACCCTGCATGTTTATCTTTGTATATATTTTCAACGCATGTCAGTTTATGTCTTTTGAACTGAATATATCGTCTTTCACTGAAATAAATTATCAAAGAAAAATGTCTAAGTGTGTTTTTATTCGGATGATAAATTATGAATTGTGTTTGTATTATTTGGAGCCGAATTACAATGTATTTACTATATATATATGTAAAAGAAAAGTTTGTCAGATTTATTTTTTTATCTCCAAGGAATTTCCAGTGAATTTGCACATGCAGAAGAAAACTGATTAATGTATTAAAAAGAAAGGATTGTGTAATCCAGCTGAAAGATATTTAAATCGCCCACCAAAACATATAAGATAAAATAACTTCTCTAATTACTCATAGTAACCAAAGACTTAAAGGTGTAAACGTTTACATCCTATGCATACCTTTGGAAAAAGTCACCTATTGTATCACTACTACTCATCACTTCTGTTGCATGTGGTGTCATATTTGGGTTTGAATCATGTATTTTTTTGCACGTCAACAAAATAGCAAAACATTTCATGTATTTGTTTGATGGGATCAAACAAATGCATGTACATTTTTTTTTGTAATTTTATAACATAAACTATTTCAGAATGTTACAATCTAAGTTTGAGTGAAACAAATAAAATTTAGATGCAAACCTGCATTTATCCCTAGCCGATTGTCACAGGACACTTTACTTAGAAAATCGCAACACATGTATTACTTGCCCAGTGCAAGGTCCATGTTATGCATGACAAATTGTTACTTTATAGAATACCCCCTTTTTTCTCATAAAACATTCCACTTTAACGTTTTAAAATTGAAAGTAAATAGCAATATGTGCTACCTGCACAAACTTTTTATTCAAAACACTTTCGCTTAACTGATGTTTAATAATTGAGGTTGAGAGTAGGATTTCAGAATTTCGTCTCAGGAACACTAAATGACCAGTATAGAATCGCTTCTTCAGCACCTGTAGATTCTTAAATCATCGATAGTGTAACTTCAAAGATCACACAAAAGTGGAATCAATATATTTTCTTGTTAAAATGGGCTTTCTGTTTCGACTTGAAATTTATGAGATGAAATTATGATTATAAGAAATGTTTTTTTCATAACTGCATTTCTCTGTTGGACAAACAACTCTTCCATAGATATCTAGGCAGACATTTACATGGAATGTCGATAAATTTGAAAACTTTCTGGATAATGGAAAAGGAAAAGTACACTGGAAAGCTTTATTTATAAGAATGTGGTGAACTATAAAACGATCTTTCATTGAACCTGCATAGTTTATCTTATCTGTAAGGTTCATGCCAGGATCTCTATGTTCTTCAATAAGTTATGCTTTGTTGTGTTTTTAAACTATGTTACAAGGGGAGTCTGTCATATTGAAACTAAACAATTTTATTACATTCTTTTTAATCAAGTTGACAATGTGTTTTATCAAATTAAGAAATATCTTTAGGGATCCTCTATGGGCTTTTGTATGTTAAGGAGACAGGGGTGCAATTTTAAGTTCTTGAACACGAAAAAGTATGTCAGTTCTGACGACCCCCCCCCCCCCTACCCCAAAAGATTTTGTCATCGAAGTATTGCTAATTTAAAAAAAATCTTAAAAGTAGCCTCACCAAAAATTGAGGTACCTTACCAGGCATTTTTTTTTGAAAACAGAAATTGCAAAGTAATGATATTTTATAACATTTTAATGCATATGTTATAACAAAAAGATATAAAAAGATGTGTATTTAAACAACGTATCACTAGAACTTACTCTACGTGTGTGTGGGATGGTAGGAATTGTTTTTATTTTGGTGAGGGTGTACTAAAACCCATGAAATACATGTGAAAATGACTATAAATCGATGTATATTGGCGTTTTATAGTCATCCAATTAATAATTGAATGAGTAATATTTTGCTGTTGTAGTTCACACTACTTTGGCAAAATCCATAGAAATAATACTACATTAGGGTATTATTAATTGTCAGTAATGAAAAATTATATCATTTTGACTTTGGCGCAAATTCAATCTCTCATTAGGTCGAATGCTGACCGACGTTTAGAAAAATAAGTCACTATTTTTTCAAACTATTATCTACGGATTCGTCCATTTGCCTGATCCTAACAAGGAGTATACGGCGGGTATGCTCAGTCGACGAAAGATGTTTACACTTCCATGGCATCTGATCCCACCACTTATGTATTTAGAGATATGTGTTAGCTTTCCTCCAAATTTCTACAGTTCCAATGTAAGCTTGACTACTGTTCTTTGTTTTCACAAACTACAGAATTAAAGCAAGTTTAGCAATATTTTACCGTGAATTTCATATTGTTATGTCATTTTTCTCCAATCATATAATAATCTATCATTATACCCCCCGCTTGAAAAGTGGGAGGGTATAAAGTAATCGGTATTTCCGTCCGTCAGTCTGTCCGTCCGTATGTCTGTTACGCTTTGGGGTACCCATCTCTTATCCACAACTCCTCTTATAACACTGAAGGAAATTTAATGAAACTTTCACAGATTCTTAACTACATATTGCCATTGTGCACCTCCTATTTTACTTTTTGATCTGACATATATTTTTGATTTTCCAGAGCAAAACATGAACACTGCCATTATATTCATATGGGAGGCGGGGGGTATCATTTAGTGAGCTCATTGCTCACAGTACCTCTAGTTATTATATGCATTTTTTGGTTTATTTTATAGATGGAACTATTTCATGTTTATTGCATTATGTTTTCCAAAATTTACTTCACTGGCATAAAATCTGAGCGGTACTGAGGCTCTAAATCTCAAAAAAAAGTTCTCGAAAAAATAAACTTAAAGTATGTATTCGCTATAATTTGTTATAGTAAAATACAGTTAACTATAGGGGTTTTAGGGAAGTACACACTAAATGCACAACCCCTGTATTTATTTTTGGGCATGCAGTAACAAAATTTTTTTAAATTAAAAGTTAATTCAATGATCTCTTTTTTAATCAGAAGGAATCTTTTCACCACAAAATTGTGTTCAAAGATGTTTTCTTTACATAACAAGAGATATCTCTCTTATTTTTTGCCGAGGATATCTTTCATTTTATAATTGTAGAATTTTTGAAATTCTCGATGTGCTTTATTTCTAGTAGTAGTTACCACAGCTACAAAAGCATCTGCTCTGTTTTAAGTTGACAGAAAGTCAATGTAGCTTGAGAGGAAGTCGATGTACGGATAACCAGTTTGACATTTGTTACCTGATAATGCTACTTAATTTCACTGAGGACACGACAAAATGCATTAGATTAATGAGCATGCATGATGTATGATTTTATCTCTTTATTAATGAGAAGTTAAAAAGTTGTTTGCTCTTTTCAGTAAATGAGCTCTATTTCCGTCTGTTAAAGAGAGCGGAAAATAAAATATTTGTGTTGTATAGATATTCTAGTATTTAGATCTATTCAACACTTTAAACCTGAATGTTAAAAAAATCACAATTTATTTTATTTTTAACACGTTAGTTGAACCGATTGTAATAAGTCGTATAATTATTCCAACTCTCTGTAATCCAAATAAAACAAATTTACCACATTATAACCCTATTATCACCCAACCACAGAATCAATAGCCATGCTTCCACGTCTCGCCGTATTGTTTCAGTCTGCAGGTTGCCGCAGGGGCATCATTCTGGCAGGCTCTATAATAAGATCTTTGAGAACTAAATGGAATATATTGGTATCGAGAGTAACCTATTATTGCGCGTCTCATGCCATTTATGCCTTTGGGGAATGTGACCTCAGGTGAACCTGTTGACCTCGTGGTCGCCTCTGTGACAGATGCTCTGAGAATATTTGATTTGGATATGATTTGTTTTAAAATTTGAGATTGGTGGCAAAAATCAAATTTCATTTATAGTCAACGCATGTAAAAAAAAAAAATGAATTTATTTTCTAATGTTATTATTTAATATTTTTGAAGAATAAATAAAATACTGCAATGGTACTTTAAAAAAGCAGAAAAATACATCGGCATACATTGCCTGTGATTCATGTAATTGATTTCATGAAAAAAGAAACATATGGAGATAACGAACAGTATTCAAGATCAAAAATCCATAAAACAATACAAAATAGGAGCAGAGGAAACACGGACCTCCAAACCATCAGATTTGGGATCAGGTGCCATAGAGGAATGAGCATCCCCTGCCGACAGGTCACACCCGCCGTCTGCTCTTTGTCATGATCAGGAAATAACGGGGAAATCCGTCCTCAATTCAGTGTATAAATAATGGACTTACAATTAGTATGAAAAACGTCAGTAAGGATTTGACTCAATAATAAATTGTATTTGCTGAGAAGGTTATTGTATCGACAATAGAATTTACAAAATGATGACATTAAACGAGACTGCTGAAATTCTTGTTTCATCATTTTTTGTCAATAATTTACCTCGTTTTAGAAATTGTTCATACACAGCACTCTTAAAAAAGTTTTACTTAGTAGTCATTTTTTACTTGAAATAACAAAGATAAGTAATAGATAATTACTAAGCATTTACTTAAAATTTAAAATCAATTACTGAAATATATGTCAATTACTAGATTCAAATGTTTTACTTGATTTTTGTATTTTAAAGAATTGTTTTACTTACACACTAAAAAGTTTTACTTAGTAATTTATATTTACTTAAATTTGCGTATATAAGTAATAACATTACTTGGTCTTTACTTACATTTTACCACTATTTACTATATAATTAATAATTTAATGCCCCCGTAAACGAAGTTTCGGGGGTATATAATTTTTGTCGTGTCCGTCTGTCTGTCTAGCTGTCCCTATGTTTGTCTGTTTATCTGCAGAAACTTTAACCTTGCCCATAACTTTTGATTTAGTGGAGCTATGACTTTCATATTTCACACGTGTATTCCTTGTAACAAGACCTTTCTCTGAGTATCACCAAATTTTACCTTGACCTTAAAGTTTGACTCACTTATACACAAAAAATCCAAACTTATTCTTTATCCAAATCTTTTGAACAGTAAATACCAGGACATTTATACTTCACATATATATTTTTTGTTGAAAGCTAAGAACATTCATTGAATACCAACAACTATGAAATTTTGACCATGACCCTGGAGATTTCCATCCTTGTGAAAAAAACTTTAACCTTGGCCATAACTTTTGAACGGTAAGGAATAGTGTTTTCATACTTACATATATGTAATCATTTTGGGAAGACCATTCATAGGATACCAAGAACTTTGACCCTTTGACCTTGACCTTGGAGTTTGACCCACTTTTAAAAAGCAAACCTTGACTGTATCTTTAAAAGGATTAGGGTTAGTGCATTCATACTTTACATAGTTCATCCTTGTGACAAGACCTTTCTTAGGGTACCACCAAATCTGTCCCTTTGTCCTTGACCTTGGAGTTTGACCTACATTTCAAAATTGGTAACCTTGACCATAACTTCTGAAGGGTTGAGGCAAGTGTTTCCACATTTCACAAATGTATTTTTTGTGGCAAGACCTTTCATTAGATACCAATAACCTTGACCTTTTGACCTTGGAAATATCAAGAAATCCCAATAATTTAAATTTGCATATAAGAAAAGTTTAACCTTTGCTATGTTGCCATACAGGGGCATAGGTGTTTCACAAACACATCTTGTTTGAATTGTATTAATTAATTTACTTAAAACAAACATTTATTTACTAAATCAAGGAGAATTCAGATCAGTATTTACTTAAATATGGTAGTCTAATCATTAATTGTCTGTGAGGAGGAGTTATCTTTCTTCTAAATATACCTTCATGTGAAAAAAAAGTCACACTAATAAAAATGCGAAATTAAGTACTTGAAATGTTTAACCATTTTTAAAATGGTCCTTAAAAAGATACAACTTATTCAATTTATAAGGCTTTCGAATTTGGAATCAAATGTTTTATTGTTATATATAATAAAATAATTACAAAGAAATTGGCAAAAGAAATAGAAAATATAATTGTTTCCATCGTAAGTAGATTTCTTCTGTTAAACTATTCAGAGGGCCCAATTAGGGAACTCAAATAAAGAAATCTGTGAGTAGTACTCACATGTCAGAGGATCGGTACCTTGCAGTGTTTCTAGTAAATAATGTCGATTTTAGTAAATATGATAAGTATTTCATTTACTTAGTATTCTTTTGAGTAATAATATTCTAGATTTTGATTAATTTCAGAATTACATTTACTTAGTAATAATTCATAAAATTTAGTAAATAGAAAGCATATTATCTCTAAATTAAGTAATAATAATTTAACAAAAATGAGTAGTTCATTACTAACTTAAAGTAATACAATTCCTATAATTTAAGTAATTCTATTGATACTTAGTAAATCATTTTATAAGTAAATGAATTCATCCTTATTACTAATCATGTTTACAATTACTAACTATGATAGTCATTTACTTGCTATTCTGACTAAATGGATTACTAATAATTACTAGTTTTTCTTAATCTAATATCTTATTTTAAAAACAACAAGTAAAACTTTTTTTAGAGTGAGAGCATGCTCTTGCATATCAACTGAGATATGTAAACTATTTATGCAGGTGATGAAGGTGTATTGCTGCATAAGCAAAAGAGGTTGACGATTGAAAAGTTAAAGTCATCACGTTTATCATAGAGCTTGGTTGTTAGATTACAATTAACGTCTTTTTCAAGTGAAATATTCAAATATAAACAGATGTGTCAGGCTCTGTGGTTTTTTTATCTCAAGCTCTCCAGGATACATCGTATCGACATAAAAATGAAAATTACCAATGTTAATTGACAATACGTCGTCGATATATCTGAAAGTCGAGTTGAAGGCCACAGCAAGTGTTTTCTTCTTTTCACGCATAAGATTTTGGACAAATTCTGCTTTATATTTTTTTAGTTTAAAAACAACTTATTTAGGTAAAAGAAATGATAATTTCTTCAACTTTTGTTGTCATTTTTTCTTGAAGCAAGACTTGGGATTGTGGAGCAATGTATCAAAAAAGACAATATACATGTACAATATACAAAACTCGTTTAGTACGAACACGGATATTGCGAATTTACGGATATAGCGAAGTCATCTTGGATGCCCAGTTGTATAAATTTAATGAATTTCTGAAACGGTTATAAAGAATTACGAATATAACGAAGTATTTTCATAGGTCCTAGTGACTTCGTTATAACCGAGTTTTGCTGTGTATGTATTGATAAGTAGCTGTACTAATTTCGCGTACTATTATAATAACAGAACACATAATTTTGTATATGTATACGGCCTTTTCAGCCGAACATCTGTACCTTTCCGTCTGTAACATTTTTGATTAAGTTTATATAATATATCACACTATGTGTGCTGATTTTTGTGTCTTTAAACCACATCTAAGAGTTAAATTTGTCTATTAAGATACGTTTATTACTTACAATACAGATTATTGATGACACAATTTGCAAACACTTGTATTCACACACGATAAAATTAATTTAGTTCACTTTGATGTAAACTCAGATTCCCTACACTTCTATTGGTCTCAAACCCTGTAGACATAAACAGATGGAGCCATTGATTTCCATAAGTCTTTCTTCAGATCTACATGTTCAAACATTTTTATTTATCTAGTTCTATGAAATAATTAAATCTTTAGAAACAGGCAAAGTGTAGTGTAGTGTAGAAATTTTGACAACAATACCGGAAAGTATGTTATTTTATGTAAATCAATAGCATAAACAATTATTAACATTGAGTGTATTGTGAACTTTCCGCAGAAATGATGAAGATTTATTTATTCCATTGCAGATGCAAATGCTTGCACCGGGACTTGTGAAGAAAAGTTCTTTGACATGCAAAAAGGATGTAACGAATACGAAACAAAGATAACGAAATATGACAACTTTGAACAAAGCAAAGAATTATGTCGGTAAGAACACTGGAATACAATATGATAAATTCTTTTTAAAAATCCAATTCTACAAACAAGTACTCCCATGCTGATATTAAAAATATGCACGGGGTCCCCTCGGTATATTATGTATGTTGCGATTACATAATATGTACTCAGTTTGGTCTGTTGTAATGTGCATTACACAATATGTTGGTTTGATTGGCAACCTAGTATTTTTTTAACAGCATTTTTAATATATGACTTTTATTTCATCACATACATTTTGCAAAAATCTAACTTAAAATCACTGAAGACCTAAGATTGAAAGATCTTTACTTAAATGTGCTTGAGTTTTTCCTTGACATTATCTATGAAATCTTTTAAGATTAATGACTTAAACTTTACAATTGTCAACTTCCCTTACTTATGCAGCAATATACCTTCATAACCTGCATACGGAGCTTATATATATCTCAGCTGATTCGATAAGCAAGAGCTTGCTCTTCGTATGAACAATTTTTAAAACGAGGTAAATCATTGACCAAATGTTGGTGAAACAAAGCATATCGGCAGTCTGTTTAAAGTCACCATTTCGTAAGTTCTATGGTCGATACAATAACCTTGTCAGCAAATACGATTTATCATTGAGTCTAATGCTGACTGACTTTTTTTCAGACTCATTGTTATTCTATTATTTCTACACTGGATTGACAATGGATTTTTCCGTTATTCCCAGATCATGACAAGGAGCACACGGCGGGTGTTACCGGTTGGCAAGGGAGGCTCACTCCTTCATGGCACCTGATCCCACCTCTGATGTTTTGGAGGTTCATGTTTGCTCTGCTAGTATTTTGTATTGTTCAATGGACTTCTGATCTTGAATACTGTTCTTTATTTTCTTATGTTTCATCAAGTAATATGCAGATATATATGTAGAAATATAAAGTCATTATATAATTTCTATTTCTAAAAACTGTCTGCTGAACAATCTTGAATTCAACGAATTTGATATTTCATACGAATTCTCATGTTAGTCATTTCACACTTGATTTGATTAACTAAATTTCTTTTTAATATAGAGTGTCATTTGTAAATGAAAAGTATGAGGGTCATTCAATAAGTAATGCAATATTCAATAATCATAATAAAGATTGAGACATTCAATTTTATTTTTTTCACATTTGAAAAGTTCTATTAAAGAGGTCCTAAACAAAGAAACCCCCATAAATTTCCCTGTTGTCTTCGCAAAGAAATTTACTTTTAAAGTAAGCATAGTCACTGCACTGAGCAGAAAGCTGTTTATAAATGATCTCTGATAAGAAGATGAAAAAACAGCGTATGTTAAAATTGTGCTTTTTACATAAACTGCCCTAAAAACTCTTATTTAAGATATGATTTTCATATGTAAAAGAATGATCTTTAACGCTGTATACTTTTCGGATGGATTCCATAATTCAGAAGAAAAAAGGGAGTTTAAATATAACAGTAAATCTGGTTGACTGAAATTTGTGGGGACACCAAAAAAAATATTGATGTTATGTGCCACATGATACCTAAAAATGCTAATCTAATGGAAAGACATCGTTAAGATACTAAACATTTAGAATCATCAGAGCATTTTATAGAATTCTAAAAAAGGAAAAAAAAATTGCAATATTTCTATCAGATAGGTGCCCTATTTTCTCACAAATGCCTCAGAGAAAGCACGTGCTAAATGTGCAAACGGTCTATTTAAAAACAATTTTTTTTTGATAAATAAAAGATTTTTTAAACTTGCTTGATAAATGACAAAACATAAATGTACATTTTTATAGCCGAAAAATAATATTAATAACAAAAAAAAATTGGAATCAAGAAAAGGTTTCATTTTATCATGATAAAGAGAAGTAAGGGCTCCAAAAATGTTTTAATAGTCTTTGTATTTAGAGGGGTCCATCAGAACGAATACATTCATCAAAATAAAGGACTAGCTATGGTTACTTTTATCTTAGAATTACACCAAGTAAAGTTAAACAGATTTCCTGCAATGCTAGTCCAAATTTCGATGACCAGAGTATTTTTCCTGTTCCTGACAACGCAGAACTTTGCATCTAAGCTTAAAGAAATAAATAAGATTTTGAAGAAAAGAAAGTAAACAAAACTTTTCCATCGCTCATAATAGCTAGATCTAATCCATTGTGAGATCTTTTTATTCCAAAAACACATGAAAACAATCAAAGGAAGATTATATAATGTCAGATAAGTCACGAGAAATGATATTCATCGGTGTCTTTGGGGCATTCCTTAAGATGAGTATGCTAAAGTTTTCTGTTCATTGATACAAAGACATAAGACATTTGTAAAGGGCAAAAGGAAATGTCTTGAGGCATTGGAACTATTAAGAATATGTATTGCGTACTTTCCTTATTTTTAGGTAACATGTTGCATTATTAATGAATGACCCTAGTATATAAATGAAAAAAAAGTATTCAAGCTCAGAATTCCATTAAAAAAGTACAAATCAGCAGGAGCAGAACTGACTTCGTAAACATCACAGGTGATCAGGACTGAGTTGCTCAAAACATTGCTTATCGTTAACCTCCGATTAAATCTCTTATCCAGCGGTTAACTTTGAACCATTGGTTAAATTCTGTTGCTCAAAATTTATCCACTGGTTAACTTTGCTATCCAGTGGTTATATATTGGCTAAAGTTAGCCATTCCACAGAGGTGGGATAAGTCTCCTAACCAGTGGATAATTATGACTAACAAATTATTATTTGTTGTAAATTTTGGAGGATAACAAAAGAAACAAAGGAGTATAGATATTGCAATCAAAAATTAATATTAATGAATACTAAAAAAAGACATTCATTTATAAGTCAAGTTGAAGTGGCTCTATAGCAATATTAGGCAGGGATAACGAAACTGTAAGGGATATGATAGGTTTTCAAGTCTTTATCATCATCAGAAATGTTTTAAATGGACTCTTTCAAGGATTAATTCCTTGGCATTGTAAAGGATCTTACTGAGTGACCTTCTCCTGCTAAAAATAAATAATAATTATTATAGGTACGTTTTAAGGGGGCCGACTGGGGTTTTATTGCGTGAAAACTACAATAGCGAAACTCTTCATTTTTGTACCTTATATAACTTCAACGCGTTCAGTGTACATGCAAAGTTTGGGGGAAATCCCAGGCCTTTAGATCCCTTAGAAAAAAAATTGAGGTGTTATGAAAAAAAAAGGTATGGAACTCTTTTCATAGGGTACCTACTTTCGCCAAAAACAATTCTTTTAAATCAGATGCTTTACAATTTTACTTTCTATCCATATCTATTCATATATAAACGATGATCTTAATTACTACCAAAGTTCATTCTGCAATTCCGTATACTTCTTGAGATATTCTGAAATCAATTCCAAAATTGACCTTAATTTTCTTACTCGACATCAGCTTACACTTACCCGGTATTATGCCGCTTACATTAATTTTACGCTGCTGATATTTTTGTTTAAAATCCTTTATGAACGACTAAAGTTAGAGTTATAGAACGACCTGCTGAAATGAAATGAGAAGTTCTAATAAAAGTAATTAATAGAAGACCGGTTCGATAACGTACGTAATATACCGGTACCTTATAGTTACATGCAAACATGGCGAATGTTCGAAAGAAGACGAGAAGGCACTACTTAGTTAATTAACTATTAAATAATATTGCAATAAGTACAGCCATTTCTATGCTCAATTAATTTAGTTTTCACATTGCTTAGAACAAGAAAGAGAAATGTTTGTGTTAAAAAGATAAAATACAATGTTATTATGTACTATTTGTGTAAACATGCAAATGCAAGCCTTCAGTTAAGTTATTTGATACAAGTCCACGAAATGCTTCATTAAGGGTGTTCGGTTGAATTGAGTTTGATAAAGGATACTGGTATTTTACAACAAGTATTTGCCAATAAATGATTCGAAAAAGAAAAGTTTATGCCAGCATTGTTTATATTAGTAATGTACAATTTCGGTTGCTTTGAAAGAAAATAAAGTGTTATAGTAAAAACAACAAAATAGGCAAAAATTATTGATTACGCTTTAACATCTGAAATTCCATCAAAAATGTACTGAAATTACACCCTTGTAATGAAAAGGGTAGGCAGGTCTGTTATCCGTTTTCCATAACCTCGAAATTATATACAGGATATACAAACGTACATAGGTATGTAACGGTGTATTTAATAAGATATTGAGATTGAAAGAGAGAAAGCAATAAAAGTAATTCGGGCTCCTGGAAAAATTTGAAATCATGAGAGGTTGTTTTGTGTCCTATATATGCAGGCAGTTGGATGATTCGATATGCATTATAAATTCTTATAAAATCCTGTCATCCCTACCCCGGGCTATCTCTGCTATGACCCAAATGATCAAATGTAAACTTAATTGCAGAGAAATTCTTAAAATATCTTTGAATTGATTGATTTCTATTGTACAGACAATCGTACATCATTTTTACTGTTTTATACATATAGGATCTTTGTATGACGCACGAGAGACATGTACGTCAATGGCGTCGTCTAGCAAAATGAACGTCGGAATAGACGTTACCATCGCTTAAACACCACTTTTTATCATTATTTGCGATGTATTACACTTAATCAGATATAAGCAAGTCATATATTGTGAGAAAGACAAAGTTCTTAACTTTTGAGTCAGATAAACATAAATTTATTTTAATGTTCGGCGAATATCGACCAATACCGTACTTTGTTCTTTAACCAGTAATTTGAGCAACCCAGTCCAGGTGTCACCAAGGAGTAAGCCGTCCTGTGCTCCTTCTCATAATTGGAAATTCAGTGTGAAAATAATAGCATAACAATTAGTTTAAAAATGTCAGTCAGCACTTGCCTTTTTAATAGATTGTATTTGCTGACAAGTTCATTGTATAGACCAAAGAACTCACAAAATTAGGACTTTAAAAAGAGACTGTTGACATTCTTGTTTCATCAACTTGCTTGTCAATAATTTACCAAGATTTAGAAACTGTTTATAGGAAGAGCATACTCTTACGTATGGAATCAACTGAGATATATAAATCCAATATGCTGGTAATGAGGTATATTGAAGCATAAATGTTATGGTAAATTATTTGATAAAGAAATGTCGTTTCAACTAGTTTAATCAACTAACAGTTGTTAAACTCAGATTTTCTAGTGATTTTCAATTATTTACTTTGTTACAATAGCGACTCAAAGTCGGATGTGAAATAAGCAGATATTTCTCGCAGGCGATTTAGAGTAGTTAAATTTAATATCGCATTGTTTTCTATATAACGTATTTTGTATAATTCTCAAATCTGAATATGATGTACATATTTTGCCTTTATTTTACAGAAGCCTGGTAGATTTTCTATTTTGTGTTGGAAATGTAGCTCCGATGTGTTTAGATAAAATGATGGAGCTAAAGGCGCCCTATTTCCAAAGCCCTTATGACTGTCATATCACAGATGAGGACTTAACTAAAATTCAGAATTATAAATCTTGTAAACATCTCACTACATCCAATAGTATAGATCCCTCCACAGTAGCTAGCCAAACATATGATCCGAACACAAAGTCTTTTTCTGTAGCATTCCAAACTTCGAGCCCGACCAATCAGCAACAGAAGGAATCGAACTCTTCCAATAAGTTATGTAAGTTTATCTTTGTTCTCCCACTTTTAACTCAAGCATAATTGGGTCATTATTCAAGAATATGCATGATGGCTACATATGAATAAAAGAAGGAGTCTGCAATCTTTAAAAAAAAATGGCTGCTGCTTCACACGCTTGTTTACTTGATTGTTTTTGGAAAAAAAATATCTCTGAACATGCAATAGGTACAATATTGCACCCAACATGAACTGAAATCCTTATTTCAAGTGCTTAATCTTTCATGAGCCATGACCAAAATGCCTATTCTACTCCATGTCAAATAGTATTTGAATACCATTCTATAAAAAAAAAAACTAACAATCTTTAATAAATGTTTACTTTGCTATTTTGTCATTTTTATTTCGTATTTTGGTAGATGTCAGTCTTCAGACACTAGTGATCGCCTGGCTGGTGTTTATTGGAGTAATAGAGAGAACTTTATGCTGAATGTTTCAGGATTCCTGATCTGCATTTGTTTCAATTTTATAGACGTAGCCAAATCTTGAGTGGGACAAAAAGCAGCTTCTCCAATAATCAAGCAGATTGTGTTTATCTGTCAATGGTTAAAACTTAAACAAATTCAAGGACAAAAACTAAAGCAAGCATTGTCTGTAAACTTGAAAACTATGAAAATTTTAAATGCTTGCAAAATTAAGTCTTCTTAAAATTTGTATACTGTATTTCTTTTACACATTATCGTCAAATTAATTTTGATAAAAGATAAAAATGGGGTAAAGAAATTAAGCATCTATATGAACGTAGATGAAGTTGATTTATTAATAGAAAAAATATTGTATGCAGTTAAAAAAATCGTTAAAACCATATTTGTATTGTTAAATATCGTATCATTTGAAACAGGTATGCATTCACATGCACATGTCGATGTCCTTTATCGTTTTAGAAACAGGAATTTGCCACCTTTAATTGACTTTTATAGGTAGTACTTTAAAAATTACAACTAGGTTAATTAGACATAAGTACACTTTTTAATGTATGAATCTTACAATATGCTTTGGTCCGAGACGTCATACGCGCGACGACTTTGAATTTTTTTCCTCCACAAAACTAACGAAGCCTTGTATTCCCTCGTATATATTTTTAGTCCCCGCGTGTATGATGTCAATGTACCTTATAATTACAAAACTTATTAAATCAAAAGAAGCCAATACCTGGCCAAAATTAGACACGATAATTGAAAAGTGTATTTCACAAATCATTCCGCATCTGTATAATTTGAAATTTTAGTTCTAGTCTTTTAACTTAGAAAATACAGTATGTTAATACAAGGGTAAATTTTTATAGTTATAAAGGAAAACTACGTTTGTTTCTCTGTACAGTCTGTTCAGAAATATTACTCTTATTTTATTATTTATTTATACATTCCAATCTTTTGAAAGTTTATATATACATTGATAGGAGTTGTACATTGTTTTTATTATAATATATGCTTTAATTGGTTTAATTATCTTACACACCATTGTACAAGCTTTCTCCACATATTTATTAAGATGTTGAAAATTGAATATTAAAATTGAATTCGAAATTTGTTGAATTTACCTTGAAATATATGTACTTAACTTAATAGCAGTACAGTTTCCCACGTATTTAAAATTTTCAAAAATCAAATTTTCAATTAAAAAGAAAAATTGATATCAAAAAGACTTTTTTTTTTTTTGCTTTTTGAAGATCCAATAGGATTATTTCGGCTAAAATATGTGGGTTCTTTTTTCTTTTACCAGTTATTGATAAACGAAGATAAATAATACTTAACGTAACCGTAGGTGGATCTTGCTCACCATGGGGCCAAAGTCCTGGTTCTTTGAAATTAGTCTTAGACGTATTGTCAATGCTATGGTTAATTATGTTATTTATAAGGACAATCTGAAAGAAGTATTTATTTGTGATAAATTTGTTTTATATGGCAGCTTTGATATAAAACACCAATTAACTATATATATATGTGTGTATCAGCTTTTATCTAGTAAACTATGTTAAAACTTGTGTTGTATGAACTATTTAAATGTACTGAATATGAAAAATCCATAAACATGCGATTGAAATAGTGTATATTTGTATAGGTGAGAGTAAAAATTGTTTAATTTTTTATTTTATATATAAAAGGTGCTTTCATTTTTCTTGTGTTTTATTGATTGTTTGTGCATGTGTGAAACATGGTAAGCCACATAAAAGTTGACCATGATCACAAAAATTTTAACTGTATGTATCGTTTACAATATCAGTCACTAAAAGGAACTAAGGTCAGTTACGACAGTTTCAGCAAATTTAATGATTTGCTTTTTAAAAAATATTAGACAAAACAATTTCAGAACAAATTTATTGCAACTTCCCTCTTGATGACCTGAGCTGAAGTTACAAAGACGTTAATGTGCTATATTTTTGAATGATTTTTGAAGTTTTTGAATGTCACAAAAAACACGATTATTTTGAAATTAACAAAATATAAACTCGGTAAAATATAAGTCTGAAATTTGCATTATTAAAAGCAAGAGTTCCTTAGGCCACAACGCTCACACCATTCATATTTCTGCTATTTTTTGGTCAAATTTTGATCTTTATATTTTTTTTTTGAATTTTGTCCGCCATATTGGGGCCACACTCTAACTCCCAGGAACTTACGAAAACTGGAATTCACATAACAAGGGATGTTGATAAGCAATGCCTCTATGTTTTATTTTTGCTCTGGAAAAGAGAATTTTTTTTATTGCTCATCTTACCTTTTTTGAAAATTTGAATAAAGAATTTGCACAACGTAAGGATTTTAGTCGTGAGTTTTCAGTTTATGTGGCGCTTTTCTACTCGAAAATAGTTCTATCAAATAATTTTTCAGTAAAACAAAGTTTGAATAAAGGCCATTTAAAGAAATAACAGTAGTTCTAAGGTGATTTAGGTGTGGGTTGAAACATGATGTTATCTTGTTGCATTTCTTTTTCATTTTCATTGAAATTTCGTCAACATTTGAATCCCTTTATAATGACGTCTCTATATGAGTGAAATATTCTAGTACTGGACGTAAAACAACATAGATTCAATCAGCCATTGAAATTTCTTTTTTACCTAGAACATTATAACGCTGAGCTAATCAAAACGCCCCATCAATGTAACGTATTTAACCATGCAATAGAGCTAGGATATGTTGAATATCTCCTCTTAGTTCAAAAACTGAAATCAATTAAAGAAAGAACAGATGGATCTTCTTTCACTTGGTTCTTCTCTGAGTTTTTGTTTAAATTATCTACTGCCTAATACACTTGAAATTTAGAATTGATTACATGCTAGACAGAGGTAAACACAGATTTGTAAATTCTAAGTTATAGAGTTTGGTGTTTGAAATGTGAAAATATTTTACCGTTGATAGTTATTTCACAGCGTGAAAACACAAAGATGAAGTTTACCGAATTTACGAGCTCTTATTTATCCTCTTATGTTTCATGTCAAGTTTCTTCTCAAATTCGAAAAAGGTAATTACTGGTCTCCATCGATCGCTGAGCTAAAGCTTAGGGCTAACGTTTTGTGCTAATGTATATAATTCCAAGGCTACCTCACAGACACACTGTAAATTATCTAGAGAAATACATCGTCTAAAAACATTTACACCGTTTACCATTTCCTTGATAAACAGTCTGATGATGCCATATGTGTAAAGAAGTCGCGTTCAAGGAAATATTTTCTGCATTTCTATGTTGTAGTCAATTATAGATACCTGTAAATGGATAAGATGCATGTGTAATCTAAATAAAATCAAATGAACTCTTGAAAATTTGAAATCACTTTTTTTCAAAATCAAAAAAAAAAACAAAACAAAAAAAAAAAACGCATGACTTTTCAACATTTTATACAACCATTACTCATGAAAAAATGAAGACCAGGCATTTGCCAGCATAGACAACAGCTTCAACAGTTCAATAAACCTCTAATTTTGTGTCTTGTAATTGGTCTCCTACTCTGATTCTATACACATGTTTTCTGGAGTTTTTTCTCAGAGAATGCTGAAGTTTCTCATTGGTGATACCCAGAGGGTTTTAAGTAGTGGTTGGAGACCAGGTCTCTCGACAATTTGAATTCCGATGATCATTAATTTGCCCTATTGTTGACTTATTTTAAAATTCTAATTCAACACAATTTATTATTAAAAACTCTTCGTAAGAAGAAAATGTCTTGTTGGGACCTTTATTTTAGATACATTTGGATTTTAGTTTTAGAAATAAAATGCTTTCTGTGTCTATTAGTATGGGGATCAATGCTGCAGCTGTTGCAGAAAACTCGCATAAGTTGGCTATGTAATATCTCTTAATCTGTTAATTCCCATTTCTTATAAAGAGGGACGTTAAACAGTATACAATCAGTCAATCAACCATCCTTATAAAGACATTTCTAAACCAAGGGAGGCTTCTGACAAATAAGTTGATTATATGGGGTTTCAACAATCTTGTTTATGCTCTTCGCAAAATCTGTGGTCGTTATCATGGCCTCGTATGAAAATAAAACCAAACGTTGGGTTGTATTTGGCCGGTATGTTTCATACCAATTGTTGGGCTAGTGTTTTATATTAATTTTGACTACGAATTAAGCCATTTAACTGATCGACGGCAGATGCGAAGGGTGAAGACGAGGTTACGATATTAAATATCCCCTTTCTCTGTCTTTCCCTCATTATTTTACCTTCCTTTCATTAACTTTCTTTTATTTCTTTTCGTTTGATAATACAGATTAGTCCTTTTGAGGACATAATATAATCAATATCAGATTTCAAAATGCTGACGATAATATATTAATTAAACGCATTTTTACTAAAAATATTTAGGTCTCTTATTACTTTAAATTTTCTGAGAGAAAAAATGTTTGGGGGTTAGAGAAACTTCAACAAAATAATCTGTACTTTCTATGTGATTGTCAATCTACGCACGTTATTCATTGGAGGTAAAATCAATTGATCAACAGTTGAAAGTTGAAATGTATGCTATTTATCCTATAGAACATTTTAAGTATTCTTAGTCACTTAACCTTTAAGCAGGGTTTCTCGTTATAAAAAAACATTACAGTTTGCTTGACTTCGGTCTAGCACAAATTTTACGACCAGGAAATTTGTATTTGTTATTACGTTACCAACTTACAAAATAAGGATTTTTGTGTAGATTATAATGACTTCTGAGGATGTTTGAAAGTGTCAAATGTTGTAAAACATAAAATGAGATAAAATATCCGAATTTCAGTATCTCTTTTAATGCTAGTTCAGCCTATTGAATTGTTTGTGATTGATAGTGTTTCTTCTAAGATCAATATTTTTTTTCTATATAATTTAACACATTTTCTGTAATAAGGTAAAGTTTTACAATTCTGTCCTTCCAAACCACAACTGCAAGTAAATGTAACAGATTACTAGTGCAAATAGACAAAAGACACTTTTTAGGAGAACAGTTGTTTGCAAGTTTGTTTCTTTTAAATTTTGTATCTTTTTTGTTCACACGGCTTCTGCTTTTATAAGTTCATTAGTATAAAGTAATGACCGAACTCATTGACCAGATTCTTGTATGTTCTTGTTAGATTCAAGTGAATTTCTGTCTCAAGTTAACTTTGCAATTAAACAGTACAGATCAGATGAGAGTTTGATGTGAGAGAACTATTGATGATTAATGGAAGTTCATTTTCTGTGTATCATAATTAAATCGTAGGGTTGTCTGCAGTATTTAAAGAATTTAAAGGTTATTATTTACTATATTCTGTTCTTCCATGAATAAATAGATATTTGTTAATAGTGGAGGGGAACTTCAGGCGTACTGTGCAACAATATATTCGAGAAATGGTGTAAATCAGATGTTGATACTTCAAAATTCCAAGGAACGCTAAGAAAATTTGAAATCACAAAATTTTACATCAACAGGTATAAAATCTTACGACTTTTCAACTTTTTACATAACCATTCCCCACAATAAATTAAAGTCCATACATTATATATATATAAATTTACATACTTAATTGTCATTAGTCTTTGGTCATTTGTAAAATCATTTTGTTAAAAAAAAT